GACGTGCAGACTGCTTCCAATCCCACGCACATTAATCAGATGCGGTTAGTTTTTATTGAAAAGACAATTTCTAGTCGTCTGTTATTATTCATCGCTTTTTTTGTGGGTGTATACAAAGTATCAAACTGTTGTGTCTATACTCACGAGTCGCATTTGTTGGCAGCAAGAAAATATTACAACTAAAAGTTCATTGAAGTTCATAAGAAATGTGAAACAACGATGCAAATGATGCTTCGTAATCTGATTAAAATAATCCATTGATGCTTCTTTTCTGTTGTTTCAAGATTCTTCATGTAACATGTGGTATTAAAAATTCTTCAAAAAGTTTTAGTGTAATGGGAAAACTAGGAAGTTCGAGATGGTGTGGTAGTACAAAAGTTGGGAACGGGGGGATAGCAACATGGTGGTTAAATGTTTAGATTAGAAAATTCCATAAATTACTACAGGCTCCGACCGTTTTAAAACCTTTGCGTCAATTTTCTGTCAGTTACAAACAAAAAATTTGAGAACATTTCCGAGGGGAAAACAACGTGATGAGAAAAAAACTTAAAATTTTCAAATTCATATTGTTTTCTTTTTCTTAATTTCCCACCATGTTCTTACCCCCTTGAAAATTCCCAACCACAACATTTTCCTCATCATGTTGTTACCCCCTTAGTCAGGAACCATGGGAATCTTACATCATGTTTATGGATGAATAGAGCTATAGTGTAGAATTCTGAAAAGATTTGCTGTTGCTTGCTGCTTGTAAAATAATGGATGTTTCTTTATTTTATATAGGCAATCCCTAAAGTACATATAAGTTTTAATCCCAAACGAACGATAGTGGAAATGAAAATTCCGAAGGATAGATGTGGAACTTTTGTGTCGTAGAGATTGTACAAATGAACATTTAAAATTGATATAAGCTTGTCTTTTTTGGTTGCAGATTTAAAACTCATGCACAGTTAATGAAACATTTTCATGCAAATATCAAGCCACTTTAATGCCCACAACCGTCTCTAATGATTTAAAAAAAAGCTACAATTTGCATAGACATGCTATCCACTACACAACACCCGTAATCACATTTAATATAGAATGAACATGTAAATTTGAAAAATGACGGCAATTAAATGAATCATAATGATTACATTATCTACCTTTCTTGTGTACAAAGAGACGACTAGATTTAGTTTAATTTACACAGTTAATGGTTGTTTATCCACAGGTCAATTTGTCCCGGCGGTGCAATAAATTAGTTGTGGGATGTAAAACTTTTTTTTTTCGTACAGTTCGGGGATATTTACGTTCAAATGTAATGAACTGATTTGTTGCTGATGGTTTCAGTGTTGGGTTACAGGTGTTGGTTTTATTATTGTCGAGGATTAGTTGTAAAAATAAAGGATAGTCTTTTTTATAAACATAAATCGAGAAAAAGCACGTCATTTATGAACAATTAGTCTCTCTATGTCAACCTCGATCCACTTTTATCTACTCTTACTTTGATCCTTCCCAAATATATTACTCAAAAGTTTGACGTACTGCTAACTCAATCTACTACCAAGTTGATCTATTCTTACGTCTGTCCATTAAATAATCAAAATGGATATATCTTACCAAACTCCTAAAATACCCAATGAATTCAACAGAATTTTGTAGTTCCAACTCTGACTAAGTTTTTGTAAAGCTCACATAAACCTTCTGGATGCCTTCATGTTTTTATTTATTTATAGACCAGTGACTCACCCAAAATACATCAAATTAAAATTTTAATTACAATCCAACAGAATCAGAGCATAAAATTTATCCAGGCTCGGAAACTAGACAGCATATCTCCAAATACCCCCAACTTCCATAAAAATACCCCCAAATACCGCCTCATTATATGGCATACCTAGTTTCCGAGCCTGGATATTTATAATATGAATTACTTGCAAAATGCATACAGCATGTAATTTTTCTCAGAAATAATTCTGAATATAATTATTGAATTTATCAGGAAAACTTATTAAATTATTGTAATAATATTTTCCATGAAATCGGATTTACAACATAAATCTGAACATTATAGCTTGTTTTAATTTAATGATGGTTAATTTTACTGAGAATTTTAAATGTTCATGAAATGTGGTTTGATAGTTTTAATCTCATCTTCTACCAGGGACGTAGCTAGGATTTTTCAAGGGAGTCAGGGCCCCTAAGCCCCCCTGGCTACGCCCATGTCTTCTATACGGGTGATGGTTTCTAAAGCTACCCAGGGTCATCTAAGGGTAGAATGCCTCGGTCAGCTCTAGAAAATGGCCTCTGATTCTAGATTGTCTTAATTTCCCCCTCCTCCATAATCAAAAAATAATTTTGCAAACGACACCTGCATTAACGTCATTGTTGCTCTTATAAAAAAAATCTATTCTTAAAAACATAAATTCCAAACTGAATCAAGAAACAATTGCTTCTGTCCAAACTTTTCATCACCCACACACACACACACACAAAGCACCAGAACATGAAAGAAAACTTTCTTTACACAATGTTTTGTTTAAATCCCATAATTCGTATCTACAATTTTAAAGTTTTTCTTTTTCTCCTCGATTTCAATTCTCAAACACATCATCACGTTCTGCTTTGCCAACAAAGCTCCATTTCCCATCATGTTGTAAAAGATAAATTGGATGAAACTCAAATGCAATGAATAAAGTTTAGAGAAGAAAAAAAAATGTTTAAAATTGTTTGAATATCGAACGGCGAGAAATTCTTGTGCTTTATGCTGTGCATACAAGAAGAAGTTGTGGAATTTATATTTAGCGCGTTTTATTGAAAATTTTGAAAAGATTCTAGTTAATCTGGGCTAGTGATTTGTGGATTGTTGTTGATGAATTTCGAATTGAGAATGTATTATCAGTGACATTTTAGCTTGTAAATGAAAGAATGAAGCAATTTAGTCGTATGAAGACTTAAGTTTTTTTAAAATCTACTCTCTTTTATGACATTCCTGCTTTGAAGTAAGAAATGAATCTTTGAAGTGGGTTGTTGGATGAACATTTTTAAAAATGATGAGTTCATTCTGGTTTTGCTGAGACTAGAACCAGTAATCTTTGTAGTGGGATCTGAACCAAACCAACTTCTCAGATGACATTAGTGCCTGAAGCCTACAAAGGATGGCTGTGAGTTTTATTTATAGTTCTTATGGTTCGAAAAATGACAATTGACAAATTTACAATGCCGAGTCTCGAACCCTTGACCTCTGTGTCGTATTATAATCATTAGGTACTATAGTGCTGAACCATTCCGCCACCGAGCTACTTCAGCTTATTTCAACTTAGAGATAGTTTGCACTATATAAATGTCTGTAATAGGTGATGAAGCCTATCCATAGTAAAATACCATAACCTACTGCCTTAGTCAAATTGACTTTAAACCAAGAGTGAAGTTTGTTGATTCTAGTTGCACCGAGTGGCTCCAGGAAACACAATTCAGGTGTAGGAAGTGCTACTTTTGAAAAATATCTGACTTATCAAATAAGTAAGCACCCTTACGCAGAAGGCATAAGAAAATTAATCTGAAACTTAAGTAGAATGCTCCAGATTACCTTCGAATTTTTTTAGAAAATAGAACCTCGAAACCTAACCTCATCTCATCCAAAAATTCATGTATTCAGCTCTATTAACCTCTAAATCCACCAAATCACTGATATTAACCACAAAACTTTATTTGCATATTAAATCCCATTAATCAATCCATTTCACTAAACGTCCATGTTTAAACGCTGATTCAGTCGGTAGTGCCCTTTCGCTATTCTATCAACAGATTTTCTAAATATTATTCACAGCAAAAGATTCTCGTTTAAATATTTGAATGGAAAAGAAAATCGCTTTCAGCTTCTTTTTTTCAGTATTTACAATTAATATGCTGTGCACAGTCGGGAAGTAATTCTTTTCTGAGACTCACAAAAAAAAGGGAATGAAAAAAATAAATTATTATTTTTTTCCATTTGATATTCATTCATTCCATATCGATGCCTGCGGGACGTAAATCATATGAAGCGTCACATTTAATCATATGATTCAATAAATTTCTCAAAAGATTCATGTCAAATGAAATGAAATTGAGAAAGCATAAAAGGAAAGCTTTTTTTTTCCTGTGGACAAACTTTTGTATGACTTTTTTTTCTCATCTCCAGCCCCAGAATGTATTTTAAGCCACAAAAATCTGAAAAACAAGAACAATGAAAACTTTTGTCGTTTTTCTTTTCATTTTATATGCTTTTGTTTGGAATTCAATTGCTTGTTTGTTTGCTTGACTTGGTTTGGTTTGGCTTGTAGACATTTTTAATGTAATTTTACTCACATTTACTTTTAAATTACAATTTGGAATCTAATTTTCATTGAATTGTAATTATTAAGGAGCTTGAAGTAATTTATTGATTAACGGTTGATATTTATGGATTGATATAGACTTATTTCTTCATTTGAGGATGCCAATTAGTCAGTTTCAGCTAAATCTATTCAAATTTTTAGCGCATTTTTAAAACTTGTTTCTAAAAGCTAGCTTATTAATACACTTTGTTCGGCTGTTCGGGGCAAGAAAAACTTTTTAACCAGACATCGTAGAGAGCTCGGGTTGGTTTTATTAGCTCAGTTCTATCGAGTTATTGGCCGGCCCAACAGTTAAAAGTCTTAAAACAGTGAATTTATACTTTAATTATTGATTTTTTTTAATTCATATGAAAAACACGTGATGCGTTTAGAAATTTGAATTATTTTCTACCGTTGTAAAAATTGTAATCAGGGTGCGTTCAGAAATTCGATTTTTTTAACAAGTAAAAAGGTGACAGCAAGAAATGTTTGGCAGCTAGAAAAGGTGTTTTTTTTTTGAAAAATTACCGTTTATTTCGGACGTTATGAGTGAATGAGAATTCGATTTGTAGCTGATGCTGCGTTGAATATCACTTGATGTTACTTAATTCATATACTTGGCAATTCAATTCTCCAAATACTCCAAAAATTGTATTAGATCACGATGAAAAAACATCCTTGAAAGAGTATATGTAACTGAAACAAAACGTGTATCTGAATCTCAATTAGTGCTGTAAATTTAAACGATGTAAATTAATTTGCTGTATACTTCTCTGTAGTGCTCGAATCCGATCGTATACAAAATTAGTCAAATTGCATGTTTCCGTCAATAAGCCTCGTAGCCTCTCATTTTCTTCTTCAAAATATCTAATTTCATTGTTGGGTTTTTGAAATGCTCGAATTCTTCGGAATGTAATCGGAATTTTTATGGATGGAAGTGGCGTGGCATGATAAACAACGAGGCACTGCAATTTCTTAAGGTTGATCAATTCCTTAATTTTTTCATTATCATCACATGACAGGATCAACCTCTCAACATTCAAAAATTTATCACTCCATTTCAAATTTGTGTAGGCACGTACACGAAGAAACAACAATTCCTCAACATATGGCATTGGCTTGAATGTTGGATCAACGCTGGTAAGGACAAGCCTCTTTAAGTTTTTAAATGTGCTGAGATGGTTAAGAACATCGTCACAGAAGTCGCCCTTTTCTGCTAAATTTGTGATATTCACTTCCTTTAAGCTCTCACGGTGGTTCTCCAAGAAGTTAGTAAAGTTCGGAACTGGTTTTTCACACAAATTTTTCATCACAAGCTTTTCCAAACGGAACTCGACTTGATTTAGTTGTCCACTATCAAATATCGGGTGATCAACATACAAGCCACATGTTATAAATTCTTTGAGAAACTTCTGACTCTTTAAGAACAACTTATAAGGCAATCTCTCGTCAGGCATCGCCAACGATGAATTTACTGTCAATTTTTTTGTCTGCGTATTCATCAAAAAGAAAAGAATTTTCTTGTCGCATTTCAGATACAGCGTGTCAAGATCCAAAGCAGGTAATGGACCTTCAAAGTAGCCATTGTCGACTGGTCTCACGCATATCGAATCCAGCTTCAAATGCTTTAAATATGGAAACTTAAAGAATGTTTTCCTCAAACATTCAAGTCTTACTTTAATGTCCTTAATTTCCAAATTTGTCAAATAATTTTTGTTGTCTCGAAAGATTAATGCCTTTTGTGGATGACTGCTTTGGACGAGAACGTGAGAATATTTTCTGATTCCACCCCAAATCTCGTTGTTTTTTACTTTCGCCGGTGTTAATGTTAATGAGACTCTTTCCATAAGCTTGCTGCAGTTGCTGATGACCTCGTTGAAATCTTTACACACTAGAGTTAAGCTGAGGAGATCCGATTTGGAGCACCATGAAAATACTTCCAGAATTACTTCTAATGGAAAGTGGAGGAAATTACGTTGAGTCTCCATTTGATTTTTTTGACTTTGGATTTTTAGTCGATGCTAAATATCAATTTTAAACTGTTGAAGGAACGTCCAAAGAGCTCACGACACGATTTGAATATTAGAATGGCTTGTAAACAACAAACTGTGATTTATTTTTTTACCTGATATTTTGAAATTTTTTATTGTTCTTGTATTCAAATTTTTAAGTTTCGGTACCGTAATGATGGGGAAATCCTGAATAATTCGGTTCTTGTACTCTTCTTGAGGATGCTTAGTAAAAATACTAACGGTTTGTTAATATTTGAATAAAGATATTTTTCTGGGAAACTTAAGAATTTTTAAAGCAGTGATGGACAACCCATGTACCGCGGAACACTAGTGTGTCGCGAATAAATTCTGGAAATCCCACGAACCAAATGTCGTGAGTGGTTTCGGTCATGGCTTACCACCGTGGTGTGCCGTGGCACACAAAAGGTTAGCCAACACTGGCTTATAGGAACAGTTTTTTACTATGCACCCTTTCATGGGTGTTTTTATGGGTATCTCTAGGTTCAGGGGCGTAGCCAGGGCCCTATGCCCCCCCCCCCCCCCCCCCCTACGAAAATCTGATAATTGTTTTATTAAGTATTTATAGAGAAGAACCAGTTAATGTAGAGGAAGTGATGAAAGAAATGTCAAAATCAGCACGAAAAATTAAATTTAATGTATGAATAATGAATTAAATATTTAAACTTATGAAGAATGAATATAGATTTAAGAATACAAAATAACGGTTTTTTAATTTTCGAAAATGCCCCCCCCCCCCCCTTAAAATTTTTCTGGCTACGCCCCTGTCTAGGTTTCTTTATCACAAACTCTTAAAGGCAATTCCACCTACTTAATACTTCAATCCAACATTATACTAGATTTCATTCAGCAAATCAAGAGATTGATATAATGTTAATTTATTTGCATTGAAGTATCTGAACACAACATTTGTTTTATTTCCACTCATCCTTAACCAAATAACTCAAAACAAAGAGATTTATGCTTGAAAATCTCACAAGAAGTAAAATTGAAGATTTAAAATAAGCAGAAATGATTATGTATTCAAAGTTCCTCTTTATAAATTTTATTTATTTTAGACACAAAAGACTCCTTCATCTTGAATACTCTTGTTCTGTGCTGTATGAGAATAGGCGGGTGTGGTGGTTTCCTCATTAATGAAAATATGGCAAGGAATGAGTGGTAATTTATTTATACCTAATATTGCCTTTTCAATTCTATTATCTCTACACCGAAAATCCTTTGAGGTAAAATTTGGTTCTTCTTTCTTCACAAATAATCAATTTAATAGTGTGTATTTACTTAAAACCCACATGCTGTTTGCCAATCTTTTGTGGTTTACTTTCTGCACCTTGAACAAATAACATAGTATCTTAGACTTTATGTATGTGTGTGCCTCCATCTCCTCTGGCAATATGTGTGCACATCCCTATTTTGGTACTGATAATGGGACAACATAAGTGTGAGAGAATCCAGTTGGATGTGTGCATCAAATTTTATTGTACCTTAATGAAGTCTTTAAATATATTTTAATCTAATATTTTCAGCTAGCTGGGTTGATTCATTGAATTATTTTTTGTGGCTATACATTTAGCTATTTAGATAAAATGTGATCTGAGGTCTGCTTTCTAGGGCGACCTAGAACAGAGTTGCGATCTGTCACAAGCAATCACTTATCACTTACCTGTTAACAGGCAGTGCCTGTGAAAAGATTTTTTTTTTGCCGGTCACAGCTACAGATCTGTTATATCTTTGGGCAGATTTGACAGATCTGTGCCTGTGACAGGCGACTCGTATCGCAACTCTGACCTTAACTTATGTCAGGAATTAAATTTAACTGTCGATTTTTTTTGTAGATGCTTCGCTTAGACCTAGAAAACGACCTCCCAGAGCTACGCATGTACTTTACATAACTAATATCGAGCAATTAATTCAATCTATTAAACCAATGCACGTTAAACTTGACCTAGAGTTTTGAGTAGGATTCGAACTCCTCCTTGGTTTGCATTACTGCCTCGTACCTACTAAGGAAGTCTATAAGCTTCATTTACTTGCTTGCAGGAGTTGGTAAGGTATTAACCTTAGCAGAAATTACATTTAAAAGTAAAGTTGACTTAATTTTCTGAAATGAAATCGCTTCAGTATTTCTCAAGGGTGTGGAACTGATCAAAACCATTTGATCAATTTTGATCATTTCATCAATTCCGCACCTTTGATATTGCCTCTAATCAGTTTATAGAATTGCCCCAAAATCTCTCCTACTGAAAGTACTTACACCATGCAAGTTTTGTGTCTCTATTAATGCTCATGTATTGTTCACTTATGAATTATGTCTTCCGATCTTTCCTGCATGTAATCGCTAACTCCATCGTCTCTTCATTTTATTTCTAGTCTGTTTCTCTTAACAATATATAAACATATACATATACTCATTTCACACAATAGATTTCCCGTTGCTTTAAAATTAATGTCATTTACTATCCGTTATAGAAATTCTGATAACGTGGAAATGTAGAAAGTGCTACACTTGCTTTTCCTGCCTTTCTCTTCGTCTCCACTTCAGAACTTTTTATATTTTTTATATACAATATTTCCATTCCTCTATCTCCATCCACTTCCACTACATTACTGTATTGTTTGTATATTGTTCTATTGTTTACAGCCTGTTCGTTGTCTTATCATGCTGTCCAGGTATATTTATACACACTTTAAATTACTGCATAGCGGAATTACTTTACAAATGGAGGGAAAGATACTGGAAATAAAAAGGAAATGAAGCAGGAAAAAGATGTAGTTATTTTGCTGTTCCTTTACTAATTCTTTTTAGAAAGAATATTTAATGCCACATTCATCTATTGAAATTATTAAGAATTGTGATGGAAAGTTTTTTTGTGCTTTTATGCTGAGCATCGACAGGCAAAAATTAGACTTTTCTAATGCTGAGCGTTAAAAATAAAACTTTACAGTAAAGCTGAGCGTCAAAATGTGACTTTACTAAAGCTGAGCCTCAGAACAGAGGCGTTTCTAACGCTGAGCGTCAAAGTTAAGACTATAAAGTAAAGCTGAGCGTTAAAAGTAAAAACTTCACTAATGCTCAGCGTCAAAATTGAGACTTAAGTAAAGCTGAGCGTTAAAAGTGAAACTTCACTAAAGCTGAGCGTCAAAAAAGAGACTTTCTGAAGCTGAGCTACAAAATAGAGACTTGACTAATGCTGAGCGTCAAAAAAGAGACTTTCTGAAGCTGAGCTACAAAATAGAGACTTGACTAATGCTAAGCATCAAAATTATGACTTTACTAAAATTGAGCGTTAAAATAAAGATTTTACAGACCAGTTGAGCATTAAAACAATTATGCCAAGCATTCGATATCAAATTTACACAAATAAATTCAACAAAAACCAAATAAAGAACCTTCAAACTACCGCACTTAAACAATATAATTTCTCGCTTATTCCCATTTCCATCCAAGTTGAAAATTGGTTTTCGTGGTGGTTATTCATTAAATTGAAATTTTTATTATCATTGCAACTTGCAAAAACAACAAAACAACAAGAAAATAATTGCTTTTTTGCATTCAAAATCTTTTCCTTATTTTTTTTTGTTCATTTCATCTTCATCGTTTTCCATCCTTAAAAGCTTCTTAATTTATTAATTTTTAAAATGCAAGGCGCAATTAAAGCATCAAATAAATTTTACAATAAATGAGGATTTATAAAAATGCAATGCATTTCACTTAAGCTATTCATTGCAACTTTTTTTGAGCGAGTTTTATTTTCTGTTTTCATTCTCTTTTCAGGATGCTGTCAGAGGATGCTCTTATGTACATACTTATGTGAATTTTAAGGAAGAGTTTGCAAGGTGTGAGTAACTTCAATTTTATTGATGCAGCTGGTGTAGTTGTTAATAAGATGTCTGGGAGTAGTCGGTTAAATGAGCAACCTGAAGCTGGTCTCTATGTCTCCCGTCGGGAAAAGGAGGAAGAGGGGGGTCGTAAACCCCTGATAGCTCCAGAAGCTGGACCTTAATATATAGGTATATAGCGAGGAGAAATGAAGGGTTTAAATTATTCTATTTTTGAATTTTTTCAATTTTATTTTTGACAGAAAAGTACCAAAACCTCTCCATTTTCAGTCCATACAAGAATCAAACCGCCCACGTTCTTTTAAAAATTTCTGGCTCTGACTCTGGACCTTAAAACCTTGGACTTTGCTGAAAACGAGAAAAAATCGAGGAAATAGTGAAAGATGCTAGGAATGCGTAAGTTCAAACCTAAATGATAAATTATAAAAGAAAGGTTGACTTTATTAAGATAGTATAAAGCAAAATGGGACGTGGAGAAGAATGCGTTGACTCCAATTACCTCCTAGAAATCTTTAAAAATCATCAAATCTCCAATAATAATCCAATTCACTCCGATTATCAAACTAAACATCCCTTCAACATTTTTCATCCTTAAAAATCCTTTCCAAATCCTCGAAAATATTTTTAATCGTCAAATTAAAAATTCATGTCACCCAAGCCTTCCACCCATTTCCTCAAATTTATAAATTATTAAACAGCATCGAAAAAAACTTTCCAATTTTCAATTTCTCATGACTCACATAAATAATTAATTAATATAATGTTATCATCCCCTTATTAAGAGATTCTCTCAAGTCTATCTCTCCGGGTTGTAAAATGAAAATGCATTTGTTTGTAAAATAAATCCTAGTGATGCATCTCTTAATACACTTGCCATCTTTTTCCTTCTTATTCTTCTTATCATCTAAGAACTTCTTCCATTCATGTTGTATATTGTATAATAATATATATTTTTAAAGCATGAAACTCTCTTAAGAATCTTAACAATAGTATATAGTGTAACATTATTACTCGTTACTATCATTCAACCACATTGCATTGTACTTAAGGGGGATGCTGGTTGGGGGGGAGAGAGAGATGAAAATAGATAATGAAAATGAAAAAAAAGGAAACACAAT